ACCAGCTAGACGTTGTGCAATGTGTGCGCGCTGCGCAAGCATTCTTCTGCGCCCCGCTCGTCTCTGGGGAAGAGGAAGATTGGGAGGTGGAGGTAGGAGAGATGCGAGCCCTCCCAAGGCTCCGATTAGAGAGAGGCCCTCCTCCTCCTCCTCCTCCTCCTCCTTCCTCCTCCTCCTCCTCCTCCTCTCCTCCTCCCCTTCTTCTCCTCCTCCTTCCTCCTCCCCCTCCTCCTCCTCCTCCTCCTCCTCCTCCTCCTCCTCCTCCTCCTCCTCCTCCTCCCCGCCCTCCTCCTCCTCCGCCTCCGTCTCCGCCTCCTCCTCCTCCTCCTCCTCCTCCTCCAGAGGGATGGGAAGGCCCCAGGAAGGCTGCGAGGGAGACGGGGAGCACGCGCGAGGGAGGGCCGAGATCCTCCCAGAAACGGCTTGGGGAGGACCTCGATGCTGCGGGAGGAGGCCCCAGGTCGTGGGCACGAGGATTCCCAGAAGCCTCTTGGGTCGGGGGCGGCAAAGAGGGGGTGATGACTAGGGGGGTGTGGATATCATGGCGGGGGCCATGATATCTCCCCAGATTTCATGGCGCCTCTCTTTTTTTCATAACGTCCCTGGCCCCCCCCCCTGGGCCGCGCACATGCCGCCGGCCATGATTTGTGCCCCCCTTCTCTTGGACGCCCCCCTCTTGGCCGCCCCCGACTTGGGGTGGATGCCCTTCGGGGGCTTCTTGGAGGCATTCTTCAAACCTCTAGGGGCTTGTGAGGAGCTTCTTGGGAGTAGGATGCCTCTTGGACACTTCTTGGGGGGGCCGTTTGGGGGCGGCTGGAGATCCATGGGAGGTACCGTGGCCACTTAGATCTTCCTTGGGGCCCTGGTGGGACCTCTTGGGCGCGCGCTGGAGGCCATCGGGAGCTATCCTGGGCCATCTGGCGCCCGGTTAGAGGCCAGATGGCCTCACTGTCGCAGAAATGACTCGGACCTCGGAACTCGGATGTCCGCGAAAAGCTGCCAGGGGGCATCGCTGTCGGGGGCGTGCGCTGCGCTGAAGTCGCCATGCAGACTAAAAGAGTCCACGTGGAGTGGGCTCAGAGAAAAAAGTAGCAAGCTGTCAAACACGTTGACGGGGGGGAGGAGGAGGGGGGAAGAGGAGGAGGAGGAGGTGGAGGAGGAGGAGGAGGAGGAGGAGGAGGAGGAGGAGGAGGGGGAGGAGGAGGAGGAGGAGGAGGAGAGGAGGAGGAGGAAGAGCAGGAGGACGAGGGGGAGGGGGAAGAGCATGAGGGAGGAAGAATGAGACGACGACGACGGCGCCGACGCTGACGCCGATGCCGACGCCGACGCCGACGCCGACGCCGACGCCGACGCCGACGCCGATGCGGACTCAGACGCCGCCGCCGCCACCGCCGCCGCCGCCGACGACGACGACGAAGTCGACGACGACGACGACGACGACGACGACGACGACGACGACGACGACGACGACGACGACGACGACGACGACGACGACGACGACGACGACGACGACGACGACGACGACGACGACGACGACGACGACGACGACGACGACGACGACGACGACGACGACGACGACGGCGACGACGACGACGACGACGACGACGACGACGACGACGACGGGAGTCTTTCGCTCTGGGAGCCTCCTGGATTCCTTTGGGGTCATTGTGGGGTCCTCCTGGTGCAAGTTTGGATGCATTTGGGACTTTCGTGGGACCACTTTTGAGGCCCCTTGGGGCTCTCTTGGAGCCTCCCTGGGGGCCATGCGGGCCCCCTTGGGCCACCTTGGAGGCCTTCGATCAAATAGGGGGGTTTCTGGATGTCAGCCTCTCCCCCGCACCTTCGGGGCCATCAACAATCGCCTCTTGGGACCCTCTTGGGACCCTCTTGGGGCGCTCTTGGGGCCGTCTTGAGGCCCATCTGGGCCCCTCTTGGGGCTCTCTTGGGCGATCTTGACGCTCTTGGGGTGCTCTTGGGGCCGTCTTAATGTGCTCTCGGGGCGCTCTTGGTTCGCTCTTGGGGGCGCTCTTGGCGCTCTTGGGGCGCTCTTTTTGGCCCCTCTTGGGCGATCTTGGAGTCATCTCGAGGCCTCACAAGCCCGTCGGATTCGAAAAGGTGAGAAGGCAACAACCATTGACTCAGGAGACTAGCGCCAATCCCCCGACCCCCAGACGAAGATACATGTGCGCACCGGATTAAGCTCGCCCGCGTTACTCGGGAGGGAATTTGACCTGTGGTGCTTGTCGCGCATGGGCGCAGACATTTCCCGAGTGACGTCGGAGATGCCGGGACCACTTCGCGCTCAGCAGGGCTGCACCCGGCCGCCGGAGCGCCGCCGCTGCTCACGCCATTCCGCTGGCCCCCAGGAGAGGCCACATGCGGCTTCCGATTCGGTGTGTGTGTGTGTGTTGTTTGCTGTGCATCCCGCGGATCAAACAAGTGTGTTGTTTGCTGTGAGTTCTTCGTGCTGTGAGTGTCCTCCCCTCTTCTGCCCTGCGCGGCCGCGCCCCGCCTCGGTCCCCCACGCCTGCCACCGGACAGGTAGTGCCTGCCATAGCCCTGCCCGCTGGAGCGCGCGGGCGAGTCGCCTCTGCCGCGCTGCGACGAAGCAATGTGTGTTGTTTGCCGCTTCCCGCCTTGGTGACTGCGTGTCGCTGTCACCTTGGCATGGCTCGGACGTGTGAATTTTTCGGCCATGCGCAGAGGGGAGGGGGAGGGGGGAAAGGCTTCTCAGAAGCACCCCTGCTTCTTAGAAGGCGCGGGCCTTGTCTACAGATGTAGGGCCAGCGCCTTCTAAGAAGCAGCCTCCTTCTAAGAAGCCTCCCCCGCTCCCCCTACCCCCCTGTGCGCCCCGCCGAGACTTTTCTTGGGGACCATCGAGGAGCATCCCGTGCCATCTCGCTGAAAAAGAGGCGCACGACACAGAAAAATGCACAGGGGATGGGCGCCCGAGCGATGGCAAGTCATTGGTTCGTCCTCTCTCAGGCAAGCTGCTGAGCTCCTGGGACCAGCAGCGTCAGTGCGTGCACAGCACCTGGCGCCTAGTCGCCCGCACGTGCGGTGGCGACTTGATCAGCCGTGCCTCCGAAGCACGGCAACTCCACAGCCAGACGGCCCAACAGGATGAGGTCCAGAGCGCCGTGGTAGCACTGCTTCGTTCTCCTCCTCCTCCTCCTCCCTTCCTCTCCTCCTCCTCCTCCTCCCCTCCCTCCTCCCTCCCGCCCTCCTCCCTCCTCCCTCCTCCTCCTCTTCCTCCTCCTCCTCCTCCTCCTCCTCCTCCTCCTTCTCCTCCCTCCGCCTCCTCCTCCTCCTCATCCGTGTCTGTTGCAGGGGTCTCCGCGAGGCGAAAGAGAGCAACCTCCATCGATTCCCACGGCCTGGCCGCCGCCGCTTCCGCCGGGCCGCCGCCGCCGCCCCGGGTCGCCCCCGCTCCCTCCCCTGGGCCGAGGGCTAGAATTCAGGAGGGGAAAACACACAGACACAATGAATCGTCGATCCCCAGGAAACTGTGGGAACATATGGGAAGTGGGGGAAGGAAGACGAGAACCCAGAATAGATGACAAAATATGGGGAATCCTGGGACGTGTGTCTGTCTATTCGTGTGTCCCTGGGCCCCTTCCAAAAATCTAGGCCTCCCAGATGGGGTCTGAGCAGATGGGGTCGGAGGCTCGATGCGGAGCCTGATTTTCTCCACGTCCGTGTCGCCGATGCATCGCCGACGTCGCCAGCCCATCGCCGATGCATCGCCGATACATCGGCGATGCACTGGCGAGGCGGCGCGATCCTTCGACCCCATCTACTCGGACCCCGTCTAGGAGTCCTCTATGAAAAAGATAGTACCAGGACCTCGACATATGAAACCCAGTCGAGATCTTAAGCAGTCCTGATAGGTCTACAGCTCTTGCGTGCTCCTGCTGAGGCCTCACGGCTGGTGCCGCCGACCCTGGACGACGACCCCCACGATGGAAGAGGCATTCGAGAAGGTCGGGATCATATTCTCCCAAGGCTGCCCATGAGGCTACACGAGGCCTCCAAGGGGGGGGGGGGCGGCGGGGAGGCCTCGAGGAGCGAGGGGGATCGAGGATCGAGGACCGAGGAGGAGGAGAAGGAGGAGGAGGAGGAGGAGGGGGAGGAGGAGGAGGAGGGGGAGGGGGAGGGGGAGGGGGAGGACGTAGGTGCGCTCGCGTCATATCTGACATCCTACCCCTCCCTCCCATCCCTTACCATGGCGCAGATCCCCTCTCTACTCGCACAGTCGGATGTCGAGCAGAGCAATGATCCCGAAAGGGGACGCGATGCATTGTAGAGCACGGGTAGAAGAGCACCGCAAAGCGTAGTATCAACCTAGCATTGCATTGCACGCCGTGGCATGGCACGGCAAATGACGCCAGCGTTGCAGCGGGAGCACGAGTCGAAACGAGCGGAAGCGCGGAAATGAGGCCAGCGCTGCAGCGGGAACACGATTCGGAACGAGCGCAAGCACGGAAATGAGGCCAGCGCTGCAGCGGGAGCACGATTCGGAACGAGCGGGGCCCGAAAATGAGGCTGGCGCCTCAGCGAGAGCAGCATTTTGAAACAAATGCAGGCGAAAACTCAGCTCCAGGGAAACCTGTGTATAAATTAGTACGCGGGGGGGGTCGGACACTTTCAAACAGTCATCAGGGGAAGAGGGAGAGTAGTATTCATATTGAGTAATTGTGGAGGAGGAGGAGAAGGAGGAGGAAGAGGAGGAGGAGGAAGATGATGAGGAGGAGGAGGAGGAGGAGGACAAGGAGGAGGAGGAGGAGGAGACAGGATAGAGGACGAGGATGAGGATGAGGGAGGGAGGAGGAGGAGGAGGAGGAGGAGGTGGAGGAGACAGGATAGAGGACGAGGATGAGGATGAGGATGAGGAGGAGGAGGAGGGGGAGGAGGAGGAGGAGGAGGAGGAGCAGGTAGAGGAGGGCTATTCTTGTAGCGCTCTGCGAAAAGTCAGGGCCCGCGCGCCTCTCCCGCACCTCAGCCGGCGGGCGCCCCCTCCGAGGGCGGGCGCCCCGCGCGGGGGGCGGGCCCCGCCGCCCGCGCGCCCCCCGCGCACCCGCGGGGCTCGGCGCATGGGGAACAATCCCAGCGACGAGCGGGGCCCAGATGAGGAGGACGCCGACGCCGCCGACGACGACGCCGACGCCGACGACGACGTCGCCGACGACGACGACGCCGACGCCGACGCCGCCGACGAGGACGCCGACGACGACGAGCGGGGCCTGGATGAGGAGGACACCGACGCCGCCGACGACAGCGCCGACGCCGACGACGCCGACGCCGACGACGCCGACGCCGACTCCGACGCCAACGCCGACACCGACGCCGCCGCCGCCGACGCCGACGCCGACGCGGCCGCCGCCGACGACGCCGACGCCGACGATCGGGGCCAGGATGAGGAGGACGCGCCGGGCGTCGGGCGTCGAGTAATGGGGGGGCGTTCAATGGGGTGGTGGTGAGGGCTGGTGCACCTGTTGCTTCCTAAAGGGGGCCTCAAATTGCCCGCGCTCCCCTCCTCTTCGCCCCCCTGGCTCGGCCTCCTCTCGCTCCTCCCCGTCCTCCTCCACCTCTTCCTCCTCCTCCACCTCTTCCTCCTCCTCCGCCTCCATTTCTTTTCCTTATCAATAACTTCTCCTTGTCGTACCCCGAGGTCAACTTTTAGGGCGGGCCGGGCGTTTCGCCTGAGACTTCATCACCATTTATGAATTTGTAGCTTGCAAATTGGCAACAGTTTCACACATGGAGGGCGGGTGGTTTTCAAAATGTGGCTCTCGCCCTAGCGCGGCGCACATTCGTTGTAAACATTTGCAAGAGTTTCATGGGTTGAGGGCTGGTGGTTTTCAAAATGTGGTTCTCCCTTCAGCGCGGCGCACATTCGTTGTAAACATGTGCAAGAGTTTCACGGATTGAGGGCTGGTGGTTTTCAAAATGTGGCTCTCGCTTTAGCGCGGTGCATATTCGTTGTAAACACTTGCAAGAGTCTCACATGTTGAGGGCGGGAAGGATTCAGGGTTACGCGGGCGCAACAGTTACGTTGATTCGCTGTGTTGAAGTCCCAGGAACGGCGTTCTGGCACGATTCAGGATCGTCAACACGCACCGAGAATCATGTTTTGGCATGCGTCAGGGTCTTCAAACGCTTGTTTTCCAAAACAGCTCCGTTAATGGAAATGAGCCGCTTTAGGGACCTGTGAAGAATGAGCTTGGTGGGAGGGTTTATTCTAACATCGTTGATGACTCTTGGGTTTACACTGGTCCCCTTCCTCCTCCTCCTCCTCCTTCTCCTTCTTCTACTCCTCCTCTTTCTCCGCCTCCTCCCCTTCCTCCTCCTCCTCCTCCTCCTCCTCCTCCTCCTCCTCCTCCTCCTCCTCCTCTTCCTTCGCCTCCTTCTCCTCCTTCTCCTCCTCCTCCCTCCCTCCTCCTCCTCCTCCTCCTCCTCCTCCTCCTCCTCCTCCTCCTCCTCCTCCTCCCCCTCTCCGTTTATCGCCCCCCCCCATTGCGTACTTGACGCGTGAGGGCTGGCCTCTATGGATGCCCGAGAGCCGAGCGTGGCATTCTGGTCACGCGGGGGCGTTATTTTGCCTCGCTTCGGGCCCTGGGGCCAGCACAGCTCGGTTCCAGGGGACGCGCGGGGCGGGCTGGGGGATCCATTGGGGGCTCTAAGAGATCGCGGCTGCCTTCGAGCCTTGGCATGGGAGGGAGAGGCGGAGGAGGAGGAGGAGGAGGATGAGGAGGAGGAGGATGAGGAGGAGGGGGAGGAGTGGGAGGAGGAGGAGGAGGAGGAGGAGGAAGAGGAGGAGGAGGAGGAGGAGACGGAGGAGGGGGAGGAGGAGGAGGAGGAGGAGGAAGAGGAGGAGGAGGAGGAGGAGGGGCAGGAGGGGGAGAAGGGGCAGCTTTCCAGCGGCCGCGCCTCGCCGAGAGCGTGCCGCAGGGGGTGCCAGGACCGTCGCGAACGGCCGCCAGGGAGCCGAGTTATTGTTTATACTATACATACACCTAGACATATGCCTAGACACATACACACGCATATACATTCACACATGCATTTACACAAACACATACATATGCACGCACTTATGTACATACATTTGGTACATGCAATCTACATTTACACGTACTACACATCGACACATCCATTTGCACACACACATATATGTATACACATACATATATATAGATGTGTGTAGTCCCACATACAAGCATCCATACATACATATACACATCCATACATACACACATACACACATACACATATACATACACATACACATACATACATACATACATACATACATACATACACACACATACATGCACACATACACACATACATACATCCATCCATATATACATACATACACACATACATACATACATACATACATACACACATATATATATATACACACCCACATTCACCGATACATTTACACATACATGTGCATATGCAGTGACAATGCATATACACTTACATATACATTCCCATACATATATATATATACATATATATAAAGTCATATATATACATATATATATATGTATACATACATGCATCCGCATCTACATCTACACACTCATATTCCGTCTAATACTCATAATCATATGCGTTTACATTTACATGCACAATCACATGCACACATAGTATGCACATACATGACACATACATATATACATGTGCAGACACATATCTATATACGTATACATGTACATGCACATATGCATATAATCATAAATTGACATACATGTGACTTTACACTTACACAAACACATATATCTACACATGCACATCCATATACACATTCATATACATGTGCATCGGCATCTACATGTACACACACATGAATGTACATGTACATATACATATATACCTGGACATGTGCATACACACATATACATATACACATCCTCTTATACATACACATGACCCGAACGCCAAGGCTTCGAGGGTTGGCTCTGGGAGACCACGGGGCTCCTCGCACCTCAATTTTTCCGAGAAGGGCGTTTTTGCTTCGCTTCGGGCCCCAGGACCATCACAGATCAGTCTGGCTGGAAAGACGCAGCAGAAAGATGAGGTCTAGAGCTCGAGAGGGCCCTGAGATATTGGAGCCTTCATTTTTTCCCGAGCAGGGCGTTTTTTTGCTTAGTATCGGGCCCCAAAGCCATCACAGATCGATCAGGTCCCAGAAATGTCGCAGACAGATGGGGTCTGGCGCTCGGGTCGTGATTTTCTCTTGATGTTGCAGTTTTTCCCAACGTTCCTGTGGTGTTGGGTCTTCGTTTTGAATCCGCAGTGTCCTGCGTTCACTCCTCCTCCGTCCTCCTCCCCCTCTTCGCTTATCCCGCTTCTGCTCTCCGCATGTCCTCATCGTCATCGCCCTCACACACTTCGTGGCCCCACAGGGAGCTGCACCGAAGGCCGCAGTGGCAGGAATCACATGCGCTCCCACGCGCATTTTGGCAAACCTCTCACACGTTTCACGGCCCCATGGGGAGCCCCACCGAAGGCCCCAGTGTCAGGAATCACATGCACCCCCCGGCCCACTTTGGCACGCACCTCACATGTATCGCGGCCGCATAGGGAGCTCCACAGAAAGCCGCAGTAGCTATACTCTCATGCGCCACCCCGCCCATTTTGGCACGCCCCTCACACGTCTCGCGGACCCACAGGGAGCTCCACCGACTGTCGCAGTGGCAGGAATCACATGCGCCCCCCGCCCATTTTGGCACTCCCTTCGCCCTTTTTCGCGGCCCAATGGGGAGCCTCACAGAAGCCGCAGTTGCAGGAATTGCATGCGCCCCCCCGCCCATTTTTGGCACGCCCTTCACCCGTTTCGCGGCCGCATAGGGAGCTCCACAGAAGGCCGCAGTGGCAGGAATCACATACGCCCCCCGCCTATTGTGCCACGCCCCTTGCACGTTTCGCAGCCGCATAGGGAGCTCCACAGATGCGCCCCCCCCTAGGGAGCTCCACAGAAGGCCGCAGTGGCAGGAATTACTCCCCAAGCCCCAGGCCCCTTTTGGCACGCCCTTCACACGTTTCGCGGCCTAACAGGGAGCTTCAGCGAATGCCGCAGTGGCAGGAATCACGGGCGTCCCCCCGCCCACGTCGCCCCCCGCCCCCCCATCTTTATTCTCACCTGCCTCGCGATGCTCGCAGCTGCATATGGTTTGGTCCTTCGCCAGCCTAGTCTCGCGTCGTCGGATCTTAGACTGGGATCTTCTTGGCTCCGCTCCGAGCTTCCGGACGCCCTCCGTGAGGCCTCCGTGGGGCCTACAGGGGGCCTCAGGAGGCTTAGAGGAGGAGCAGCAATGGAGGCAGCGCGCGAGGTCTCTGGGATCATCTGCTCCCCCATCGGCTGCTGTTGTTTCGAAGGGCATTTCAGCTCCACCATTGAAAACGATACAGCCCATTCGTTTTCAGTGTGGGGGGTGGAGCGCGAGTTTTCTTGTTCTTCGTTCAGCGGCAGCTTTGTCGATTCAGTGTTGCGACGTCTGCTCAGTGGCAACACTGGTTTTCATTGTCGAGTTATCTTCCGCCATGCCTTTTCAGTGTTTCGGTGACGTATCACATCGTGCATATGGGGCCGAATCTCCTGCCTCGTTTTGAGGGAGTGTCCAAAGGGCGATCCGCAGGACGGTAAGCCAATTCGTCATGCAATCATTGAGCAGCCATGCTTTGTTCGTAAGGGCTTCGCCCCCTGCCGCCAGCCCCCTCTCTATCATAATGGGATATATCAGAGTCGCATCGGTGCGTCTTGGCGCTACCTTGGCGCATCTGGGAGCATCATGCGGGGGCGGATAGGAATCATCAGCGCATATTGAGACGTTGGCGTTATCGAAGACGCCTACGGCGAATCACCGCCGCCCCCTGCCTTTTTGGAAGCGCCTATGTGGCCGAACGTTGAGGCCAGACCTGCCAAGCTATCGGACCATGTGTTCCCCGAATCGGTTTGGAAAGCCTTCGGGGAACACGTGGGCATCTTGAAGGTCATCTTGGCCGTCTGGAGGCCATTTTGTCCTTTTTGGGCCTTCTTGGAGGACGTCTTGGAGGGCTCTTGGGCCATCTTGGAGGCAATCTTGAGCGTCTTGCAGGTCCAGGGGAGGAGAAGGAAGGAGGGGTAACCCCCTCCCCGAAGGGGACAAAGGGGGTTGGAAGAAGAAACTCCCTAGACCACGTACGCCCAGAGGGCTGATGAGATTCAAACAGCTCTCGGCTGATGAGCTTTCGTACGCCCCGTCTATGGGTCTTTCTGACATCGTTTCCTTCTTCTTCTTATTTTTATTTTTCTTCTTCTCCATTTCCTTTTTAGTATTCTTGTGCCTCCTCCTCCCTCCATCTTCGACGAGCCTACTTTGACTGGCATATTTTGAAAAAATGCCAGAGAGACGCTCATACGGCGGGCATCGGGCACCACATTGAAGCGTGGTTGGAGGAGGCGGACTGGGGGATGGTAGCAGCAGGAGGGACGTATTTCCTGGGATAGACGTCGCTGAGGACAGAAAGAGAAGCCATGAGTGAGTGCGTAGAGAGCGTGTGTACGATAGCAAACCACGTTGTTGACTTGTTGTAGCAATCCTCAAAGTTGAAGCTGTTGCACTCCGGAACAGACGGTAGCAATATTCAAAAGGATTTTTTCCCCAGGACGTCGACCTGGCCGTGCACGGTGATAGGACTTGGGGTGCTCGCGAAGCTTGGGGCAGACTGCCTTTCTCCCTCCCCTTCGCCATCTCCTCCGCCACCCACTCAACTTCCCATGTGCGGTCAGCCTTCCTTTCCTCTCCCCTTCCCCCTTCCCTTCCCACCTCCCCATTCCACTCCCTCTCTCCCCCTCTCCCCCTTCCTGCTCCCCCCCCCCTCACCCCCTTCCCCTCCATCCTGTCCTCCTGTCCGGTGCGGACTCGACGGGGGGGGTCCTCCCCCAAAGGCGCAGCCGCTCGTGCCATCGCCCCGCGACGCGCGAGCTGCTGGTTCGGCTCACCGAGGGCGGAGTTCGGATGTGCGATGCCGTAATCAGGGGCCACGCTAGGGAGGGATAGGCATAGGGGGGGGATGCATCGACCCCCAATCGCCCCTTGATCGCCGATAGGGGCCCGATATCCCAAACCTGCCCAGGAAGGTGCGGATTCACTATCGGGGCCCTATCGCCGATCTATCGGCGATGTATCGCCGATTCGAGGTCGATGCATCCCCCCCTGATCCCCAGCCCCCTATCGTTGCCTGTATGTAAGAACGGCTTTTTGGAAGGCAGATCTGCCTCCCGAAAAGTTGGTCTGCTCTGTAATAATGTTTTTTTTTGAAGGCAGATCTGTCTTCAAAGAACCCGTTCTTACAGTGGGGGCCCATGCCAAGAAACACCCTGCTTGCCTCCAGGGTGCCTGCCCTGGGTTTCTTGGGTTTCGATGCTTTTGCTGCGGAGAGGGGCACGTTCCCGCGCCAAAAATCAATGGATGTCCTGGGGTCTCAGGGTTGGGTCTCTTGTGGGAGGTTTTCTGTGGACTGGCCTCCACTGCAGTCCCCTCGCTTCACCGCCGCATTTCTCGGCTTTCCCTTCTCCTCCCGGCGCCCTTGCGCCCGCTGCCCTGCCAGCTCCCCCGAACTTTTGTGCTCTCGTGGCTCGCCTCGCCCGCGTATGGTTCCCACGCAGGACTTCAGCACCGTTTTCCAGACACCGGCTTCCCAGAGATCCAACGTGTTGAAAAAATCAAGACGGAGTTTTTTTTTTTTTGCAACTTTCGGCCCCTCAGGGCCCTCGCTGGGCCTCGGGACCGTCAAATGACGACGCGGGAGAAAAACGGTCCTGGGGAACGGGTCGAGTTTTCCCAGGACCCCGTACTGAAGAAATCACGACATCGGATCTCTGGGTTTCTTATGTTGTACGTTTTATCCAGTAGGCGCACTTCTCCTCGCAGAGTGGTGCTCCCGCTGTAGCGTTGGCTTCCTTTCAGGATCGGCGCTGTGCCCCCGTCGTTCAGGATGGGGCTCCCACCCCAGCGCGGGCCACTTTCTGGATCAGATTCTCTCCTCGTCGTCGTCGCCCCCCTCCCCCTTCCCCTGGTCCTCCTGATCCCCCCGCTCCTCCTCTTCCTGATCCTTCTCTTGCTGCTGCTCCTCCTCCATCTCTTCTTCCTCCTGCTCATCCTCCTGCTAATCCGTCACCACCACCTCCTCCTCTTTTTTTGTTTTCGTCTTCTTCTTTTTCTTCTTCTTATTATTCTTCGTCTTCTTATGTTTAGTGTAATTCTTACTCCTTCTGCAATGGGCGCAACTCATGTTCACCATCGCGCATCACACGATGGGGTCTTGTTGAGGGTCAGACTCCACTAGGACACCCTTGGCAGATTGAGAACACGCAGCGCCATGGGAAGGGAGGAGGCGAGTGGGTGGAGGGGCGCGATGTCAGATCTTGCGCGGGCGCACCTAGCTTGTCCCTTCCCCACTCTCCACTCCTTACCCCGCGCTGATCACTTTCCGCTCTCCTC